GATAAAAATCAATGACTTTTTAATTTAAAAATAATAATCAGATTTTTAAAAATTTAAATTGGATTTTTTTATTTAAATTGGATTTTTTTATTTAAATTGGATTTTTTAAAATAAAATGCTTTTGGAGGAAAAAATCTTTCTAAATATAATTTTCTATTTAAGTTACATTACAGTCCAAGGCTATCCCTCAGGAAATAAGGATTTGTTTTAAGTTTTTCATGTATGCTAAAACTCAGTCTAATTTTTTTAACAACAAGCGTTAAACCACATCAGTTAACAAATATGGATACATATGCTATAATGTTATTGTTTTAGTTAAATAGCTAGCACAACTTAGTTGAATTCAACGCCACACTTTAAAGGCAGGAGTGGATAACCTTTCTGGCTCCATGGGCCAGATGCTTATCAGGATTGGTCTTAGGGGTCAAATCTGACAGGTGGGTATGGGCATCAACCTGCCAATCACATCTCGCATGACTGACAGGTGGTTCATCCCATCTACTTGTCAAAATCCCTTGTGGGGTTCCCAAGTGCCAGGCACTGCTGAGCCCACATTAAGCTCCCAATTACTGTATTCCTTTGAAACCGCACCCTTATCTGCCCCGTATCTGACATAACATAAAGTGTGAGGAGGTTGAATGTGGCTCTCCTAAAACAGCCTCATGGGCCAAGTTTAGCCCGTGAGCCAGAGACTCCACACCCCTCCTTTAAGAGTACTTCCCAACTCAAATTTAGAGGTCAGCCCCAAGCAAGAGACAGAGCTAGAAGCCAGAGGAAGTAGCCAAAGGAAAGAAGCCCTGTTGTACACAGTTATTTAATAAAACTTCTTGCTTGGTACATTTGAGCTCCTCTTCATTGAACAGAGAACATACAGGAAGTTGAGCTGCAATCTTTCACTGATTAATAGGTTGCATTATTTGATGAATGAGTGTCCCCAATTAATTGGGCGAAACATTTACAAAATCTCCCCGTGTTGCTTCGTTGTAGTACAAGGGTTGGTAAAAATTGCAGAGGGCGGGAAGGAGGCTTTCCCCTTTCACTCCCACACAGTATCAGATACCCACTTCTAAAATGCTGCCTCCTGTGATACATGCATACCTCATTTAAAAACAAAGAAAGCACTCCTTTTCCTCAGTACTATCGTTTTAGTCACGTGCTAACTTGTACAGATTTAATACATTTAATCAACAAATTCAATCAATGAAGATGTCTTTGATCAGGTGAAAGCCCTAGCAGGAAGTAATGTAATCTTACCCCTTTCATGAGGGTAGACATCTTGATAGCCAAACACTTCACATGATTAGAGCACAGGGACGCGGACTTATAAAAAATATTGGGGGGCCCCGGGAAAGCTCATGAATAATAAATAAGCTCATGAATATGCAAATAAAGTGGCACCGCCTCCTCGTGAGCGAATAGGGGAGAGCGTGCTGCGCCTATTAATCAGCTCCAAAGGAAATTGGGTGGAGCTTTTGCTCGGGAGGGAGGGCAGGAGGCATGCAGCCCGCCCCTCCCTGTGCATTTTGGGCTGGGGGAGGGGCGGCGATGGCGCTCTGCTGGAGGGGCGCCGGAGATTATTGGGGGGGCGGAGCCCCCCCAAACGAATTTTTGAGGGGGCTCGGGCCCCCTCAAGCCCCATGGAGTCGGCGCCTATGTTAGAGCATCTGGTAGGCCTAAGGGTATTTTTGCCATCCAGGTGCCCTCCAGCTGTTTTGAAGTACGGTTCCTGCCAGCCACAACCAACACATGCAGTAGGTGGCAGGAATGAACAAAGCTATGTAATCATGTTCAAACCAGGTTTGCCTGCAACCATTTTCTGCCTTTTGCATGAGCTGTTACCTGTCCTACTACTGAAGATGGAAGAGTTTTGGTTGTTTGTCCTGACAAGGTGCAAATTCTGCCAACTGTGTCTATTAAATGGTTTGGGGAGACTGGTCCAAATACCACTGTTTCTGCAGAATCTGAACTTTAGGTTGCTGATCTTTATCCTCAGGAAGATAGTGATTCTCAATGAAGAAAAGATTTTGCTGAGAGTTGTTAGGAGGCCCCGTATTCGCCTTACAGAGCTACGATTCTCTTTAACAGTCAATCCTGTTTCCTAGGGAACTCTGGCCATTGTAGCTCTTTGAGGGGAATTGGTGTTGCCTAACAACTCTCAGCACCCATAACACACTACAGTTCCCAGAATTCCAGGGGGCATGGGGCAGCCATGACTGCTTAAAGTGCTTAAACTTAAAGTAATACCTCAGGTACCTCAGGTTACGAACTTAATTTGTTCCAGAGGTCCGTTCTTAACCCGAAACAGTTCTTAACCTGAGGTGCGCTTTCGCTAATGGGACCTCCCGCTACCGCTGTGCCACTGCCGCACAATTTCCGTTCTTATCCTGGGGCAAAGTTCATAACCCAAGGTAACTACTTCTGGGTTAGCGGAGTTTGTAACCCGAGCGTTTGTAACCCCAGGTACCACTGTATTGCTTTTAATGCATATTTAATGTATATTAAATGTATTATTAAAGAATATTAATGTATATTAAAGAAGGGGCCTAGATGAGCCATCTCTACATGTATGCAAATGTTTACATAAACTTGCAAAACAGCAGCAATCCACAACTCAAAATATTTTCTCCAAAATTGTCCATAGTGCTGAAGAAGTTGGTTCAAACTGCACTAGGCTACTGCCAACTGGACTGCAACATGTGCCTCAGAAAGGTGTCACACGGTTGACAGAAGTAGACATGGTTAACATGCATATTATTCAAAGTTTACACCAGTTCCACTAAGTTAATGTTGTGCAAGGTTTCGAATATGTGGTTCTTTTCCTCATGTATCTGTTTTGTTTGTTGCACATTGCTCCATTCTTTCCCATTTACCTCACATCCTGCTTCTCTGCTAAAAAAAATGTGGGCCAGGGCTTTTGCTTATACAGCTGAGCTGGCACCTACTGCTTCTGGCAGCACGTGGGCCAGGCATCCTCATGCACAGCTGCATCCCTGCCCATGCCACACCCAAATTGTGCCAGCTCCCAACCTAGAACTGGAATGTCTACCTTTCAGGAGCACTCCGCTATTAAAAACCTAAATGGAAACTATGCAGCTGGGCATAAATTTTGTGACTTTATAGTCACACACACAGTTACAGGCAAGCATTTTGTTGCACGTATATAATAGACAGAGCTACAGGCACACACCTCATCTTTTCTCAGAGTTGCGTCAGGTATATTTTTCAGTTCAGCAGTGAGTGGGTCAAGCCAAATATGCAAAATATAGTGTAATATTTCACTGAGCCCCTTCTTTGGTTACCCTAGTGGCTAGTTTCCTCTGATTTCTGCGGCTAATGTTTCTATCAGGTGCTTCCACCAATAATCATAATACTTTTGCAAGCACTAGTTGTGCTGCTGGCAAGCGGAAGAACTATGCTGAAAATTATATTTAAACCATCAGTAACCTTCCCTCCCCCCCACCAGTGGTCAAGCAGATAATTTTGGGAAGCCCACAAGAATGGCCTAAACGCAAGAGCACTCTCGCATTGTTGCTCCCTTGCATCCCATAGTATGCTGCCTCTGATCGCAGAGGCCACCCGTGACTAGTAGCTATTGAGACTTCATACTCCAGTCCCCTTCTAGTCAGAAGTAGCAATGTATTATCCAAGCAGTAGAATTAAATGAGTCTAGTAGCCCATCCCTATGCATATTTACTCAGAAACAAGAGCTCACTTCCAAATAAGTGTATGCAGGATTGCTGCCCAAGTCTTTTGAGTTATTAAATGCCCTCCCCAGGGAGGCTTACCTGCTGAGTTTTAAAATGGTTTTCAGCACCAGGTGAAAACCATTCAATTCTCATAGGCTCTGTTACATCTGCACACTCTTAATCCTCCAAATTGTAGATCTACTGTGCTCTCTTAGTAACACAGTGCATCTTATTATACTTTTTTTTCTTGATGCCACTGACATGTTTATGCTTCTTGTTATTGTTTTATTGATTGTAATTACATTGTAATGGTTTATTATCATAAGTCAGCCAGAGGCCAGTTCTATTGGGCAGCATATAAATACTGTAAATAAATTAGTTCCAAGCATTAGGTCCTTATAGTAGCTACCTGATGAGAAGCTAGATTGGATATGAACAGTCCATACTGCAGGTTTGATGGACAGAACAAAGTCAGTGTTATTTAACTAACACATCCTTTATTCTTTGTCCCGCGTTATCTGAAGAATGTTGTATCATTTACTATCTGATGGCAGCCCTTACTTTCTGAATAAGCAAATCAAAGGCTGCATGACCGGGAAGCCAAGAAACTTAACAAGTCAATGACATGTTCAAGGCCTTGATCCTAAGCACACCCATGGGTGTAGCTGCCCCCCCCAATAAAACTCCATAAAAATCCATAGCAAACCAGGGGGGGACCTTTTGTTAGGGGGGACAGAATCGCAAACAAAAATCCTGGCTATGCCCATGAGCACATCTCTTTAATATTAAGTGAAGCAGAAGTCAGTAGGGCTTACTTTTAAGCAAATGCATTTAGTACAACCCAGGCGTGTGTGCAAAAACACACAAGCTACAAAAACGAAGTTATTTTCGTGGGGAAGTGCAGGGTCTGGGAAAGATGCTATGTCTTTAAATGGTGCTTTTTCTCCCCTGCCCTGCTTGATGCGCCTCTTCCGCTCTCATTTCTCAAGAAACTAAGAAAGATGTTGCCTTGCTCTCTACAAGCCCAACTTCCTCTTGTTAAGGCCACATCGCGCATACCTCTCGCAGACCCTCACGAGGAGGCGACCTCCGGGGGCTGCGCGCAGCAGAAGGGGAGGGCGGAAGCGGGCAAGGCGAGGGGGCAAGACTCACATCCCCCGGTCGGCGAAGATGGAGGTGCCTCCTCGACAAGCAACACGGGCTCAAACCTGGAACCGCGTTTTCAGACACAAAGACACACAACACACGCGCGCGCACACACCAAAGCAATATATTGCATGGCCATCTTTTGGTGGCAGATAACTTCATACTTACAGCGTCCTGCAAACTTCTTGTATGACCCTAAACGGTTAACACGGATCTCTTTGCCCGCGTCCTTTCCTACGCCGGACTTTTTCACGCGGCTTTCATGCTGGATAAGTTTAGGCGGACAAAGGGCTCAGTCGGAGCTCCTTCCCGTTTCTCTCGGCATCCTCCACGCTCGCTCCTCTTCGGCTACGAAGCTGGCGTTACTACGACGATCACTTTCTAACTTACTCATTTCCTGGCGGCCGCTGTTTTTCGTTCTGACAACCACCGCCCCCCCTCCCACGCGCACAACTTTGGGTCGAGTCCCGGGACGCCCTTAAGGTGGAAAGCAAGAGAAAACTTAAAAAAAAAAAAATCAGCGCTCTCAGCCTTTGGCGATCACTGCAGAAACTCGTGGAGGGTGAAGAAATCGCGGGCGCCCTTAAATTCTGCTTGTTGTGCAAGACGCGATGAAAGAGGAAAAGCAACGACGCAACAACTTTCCGGAGTTTGCTCCTCGTGGCTTGCAATATATATGAAATACAGGCGACAACTGAAGCAACTCTCGCTGCTACCTCTATATAGGCAGTGTTTTCACCCCCCATTAAAAATTCAGAAACCCACTTTCCTTTCATTACTTTTACCCCCCCTTTTTTGGGGTAAAATCAGCTTGCCAATCTCTATACTCGAGTCTGATCGATAATAGCCAGTTGTCGGTGTCAATAATTGGTTATAAATCCAGGTTAAATACCCGTGGGCCTTGCTTTGGTGAAATTACTACCGTGCAGCCTACTCTACCCTACCCTCCAGGGTTGGTGTGAGCTCCAAAACACTTCAAGCTCCTTGGGAGGAGAGTGAAGAAACAAATGAGAAAAGCATTTAAAACAATTTAAAGCAGATATTAAATGTTAATATGCAACAGCGTTTGTTTGGCAGACGGTGCAGGAGGCTTGGATTAAAGTGTCACGTGTGCCTGGAACTTGCTACCTGGCCTCCCTGTGGGCAGGTCATCCTTTCTCAGACTCCCCCCTCCCCCCATCTGTGAAAGAAGACACAATAATGGACAAAAGAGACAAGGACCACACTTTGCATATGAACAGCCTGATCCTGCCTAAGGCCATTGGACTCAAAGGGTTTAGGTGTGCTTAACTCTTCTTAGGATTGGGCTTCTTAAACTGTGATTGATGGCTACTTGCCAAGATGGCTGCATTTCACCTCCACTCGCACAACTCTGAATGCCAGTTGCTGGGCTGCACAGGTTGGGCAGAGTGCTGTTGGTGTCATGTTCAGCTTGTAGGCTTCCTGGCTGGCTATGGTGAGAACAGGATGCTGGACTCTATTCCTTATACAGTGGTACCTCAGGTTAAGAACTTAATTCGTTCTGGAGGTCTGTTCTTAACCTGAAACTGTTCTTAACCTGAAGCACCACTTTAGCTAATGGGGCCTCCTGCTGCCGCTGCACGATTTCTGTTATCATCCTGAAGCAAAGTTCTTAACCCGAGGTACTATTTCTGGGTTAGCGGAGTCTGTAACCTGAAGCGTATGTAACCTGAAGCGTATGTAACCCGAGATACCACTGTACACGCAGCAGGTGTAGATTGGTACCCATGTCATTTTATTTTAGATTTCAAGCCTGTGGGCTGATTGTATGTAAGCCACTCTGGGAGCCTTTTTGGCTGAAGAGTGAGGTACAAATGCTCTAGATTAATAATAATAAGTTAGGCTTAAAATGAGCATTCTCTTAAAACCAAGAGAATCGGTCGTAATGCATGTGTGTGTTTTTTTCAGTTTGCAAAAAGAGGTTGCTCTAGCACCAGAGCACTTGTTCCATTGGCTTTGGTTGCCTTGATGTACAGGCCACAAGAAGGGTGGCATCTATACATCCGATTCTACATTCTACTACATTGTACTTATGGGCCGGATTTAGGTTTGATGAGGCCCTAAGCGACTGAAGGTAATGGGGCCCTTTATATGTCCAGCTGTCCTTTGTCAACAACAAATTGTTGCTGTTTTGTGTGTGTTGAATATATGCTATATGCTAATTTATGGACCTAATAGGTATCTAAAGCCATTTGCACATCACAAAATATGTATTTTATCAAAGTAATTGTTGAACTGAAATAAGAAGTATATTAATAGTGAAATAATTACCAGTGATATTTTAGGGAGCAGGCTAGCTGGCGGGGCCCATTCCTTACATCATAGGAACCTACACAACACAAAACACTGTTGCGGTATGTAAGTTTTATTTTATTTGTTTTTTATCTTATATTTTGGAAATGTACATCCAGGTTTCTTTCCTTTAAATTTTTTTGGTGGCCCCAAGAGAGTGGGGCCCTAAGCTATAGCTTGTTTAGTTTATACGTAAATCCAGCACTGTTTGCAGTCCACTTAGGAAGTTACGCGGCATAAGCTGATCTTGCATCAAATGTACTATTGGGAATAATGGAGACTCCAGTTATCTGGACATGCCAGTTCTACTTGATGCACTCTGCCTAGTACAGTATACTCCTTCTACTACCGAACCAGTACGAAATGTTGAGAGTAGAACATACTGTTCATTTTGTATCACTGACTGACACATCAAAGAGAAGCATTTCTCCTACAGCTTGGCATAGTCATGTCCAGGGTAGAGAAAGAGATCCAACTATATAGTCTCATAGAACAAAGCCAATCTGTTTTCATGCCTGTTGCTTTTCCCGCTGTTGCATTTGACTATTCTCACTCACACACCTAAGTGGGGAGTATGATCTGTTGGAATATTTATGTTGTTAACCTTTCCATCTAAAAGTACTTCTAAAGGGCAGCACATTTGGGACATTTATTCTCGGATGGGGATTCCCCCCTCCCACCCCAAATTTCATCCAGTCAGCATAATCATACCTTCAGTCCTGAATCCTTCTTGATGCTTCTTGTTCCCATTGGAAACCATGAAGGCAAAGCATGCAAACATTCACTTACACCTTATGCTAGCCACCACCTTCCTACCAGCCATGGATTCCTTTGGGGTAGGTTTTCATACTGGCAGAAGGGAAGGCCACTACCAGCTCTTCTCCAAACTATAAACCCTCATCAAGTTTCCCAGCCCTGCCTGCATTGTACAGATTTGTTCTATCTAGAGCTGATGGTGCTCAAACACATTGAAGTCTGTGGTATTAGGTAGGTGCACATAACTCAGCATTAGTTTAGACCAGTGTTTCCCAACCACTGTTCCGCGGCACACGAGATGTTGCCTGGTGTGCCGCGGGAAAAATTAAAAAATTGAAAGATTTTTTTTTTAAGTCAAATTTTCGATTGGGGCGCCGTCACTAGATGACCCCTGGGGTTCCCTCCCTCCCTCCCGCTCTGCGCCTCCCTCCTCCTCCTCCTCCTCCTCTGGGGAGGCCCTTCCTGGCTCTTGGCCAAGGCTTGGCGGCTGCCACTCACTCGCTCGCCCACCCGTCCCTCCATCCCTGCACCCGGCCTCTCCCCCTCCGTCCCCGGCGCGGGGGCTGCCGGGATCCGTAGTCCCCTCGCCCTTGGGCTCCGCGCCTGCGCGGGGTGCGCAAACTACGTTTCCCAGCGTGGCCTGGCGGGCCGGGCGTTTTGTTTGAAGCGCTCTTCTCCCGGCCATGGAATGAGCGCGGCGGCCGGGCGGGCAGGGGCTCTTCTGCACAGACCCCGCACAGCCTGCCTGCGCCCCCGCGGAGATCGGGCAGCAGGATGGAGCCCGGGGATCCCCGCGGAGGCGGAGCGGCGGAGGCGGAGGCTGCCCCCCAGGTAGGGCTGCGTCGGGGTTTTTTTATTTTTGCAATGCTGCATCCGCGCCGGAGGGGACGCATCAGACCGCGGGGAGACCCCTTGGCGGGCGTGCAAGGCAATGCATGTGTGCAGGCGTTGCATGGAGTGCAGTGCAATGCAATGGCAACGCGGCGCCCTGCATGCATGCATGCAACTTCCACCGGCGCTCCGGACTTGGCAGGTGAGGGGGGTCCCCAGTGGGCGGCAGAGAGAGCCGGGAGGGCGGAGCCGGGGGGAGCAGCGCTGCTCCCCGAGCCGAGCCCGGGGGGAAACTTTGGCGTCGTTGCGCCGGGTGTTGGAAGCGGAGGCTGGCGGGGGCCCCTCACCTGCAAAACCTGGTCGCCTCTCATATATTTCGTGCATTGCATTCATCGCCCGCTTTCTCCTCCAAGGAGCTCCCGGGGGCGCGCGTGGTTCTCCCCGTGTTATCCTCGCAACAACAGCCCTGCGAGGTGGGTCAGGCGAGTGGCCCAAGGGAGCACCCAGGGATTGTCCTGGCCAGGTGGGGTGATTTGAACCCTGCTCTCTGCCCGGTCTTCGTCCTCATTTAGCCCCCACATGTGCATGACTGTGCATGACTGAGGTTTTCCCCCCCTCGTCTTGGCTATGGTGTGAGTCTGTGCTGTTAATTAATGGGGTTCTGCCTTCGGAGAAGATGAGCCAGCCCTCAAGGAGGTGATTATGGATTTGCTAGCAATTCATGTCCCTCCCGGCGTGACGCTGCGCGCTGACGTCACGGGGGTGTAATGGTGGTGTGCCTCGAGATTTTTTTCATGAAACAAGTGTGCCTTTGCCCAAAAAAGGTTGGGAAACACTGGTTTAGACTGCTAATTAAGTGACTGGGTGGGACTACCCTTGAGAGACATTACGCTAAAAGAATGGGATATAGATCGTGGGAAAAACACCCCCCCATTCCCAGGGACTGACTTGTGATAGTCCTCTTGATGGTGTTACGTTTTTTCAACAAGTATAATTCTGCTATATTCCCTTACAATTTTCAGCAGGTTTTACTCCTAGAAAGGTGATAATGTACATTTTATTTGAATACGCAGCCCTGGAAGGACTACAAAAAAAAAATAGTGTGTGTTGTTGTTTCTTCCCATACAGAAAGCCTGTTTGTACTTTGGCTTAATATGGATTTTATGCTGCTGGTGTGCCTATTAATTCCCCAGTGTCTAGGGCATGGGTAGGCAAACTAAGGCCCGGGGGCCAGATCCGGCCCAGTTGACTTCTAAATCTGGCCCATGGACGGTCTGGGAATCAGCATGTTTTTACATGAGTAGAATGTGTCCTTTTATTTAAAACACATCTCTGGATTATTTGTGGGGCAAATGAATGTGTTCATTCTCCCCCCCCCCAAAAAAACCCCCACAGTCTGCTCCACACCCCCCCCCGAAGATCTGAGGGACAGTGAACCGGCCCCAGGGCCAAATTTAGATGAAGAGAGGCTCTAGGCTACTCCACTTGTGAGGCCCCTCCTCCTCCTCCCCCACCCCCACCCTCAAAACTAGAAAAAAAGTGTTGTACACAAAATTGAGTGAAGCCAAGGATGATGACGGGTATTTAAAATTCTGCAATTCACAATTTCTCCTTTAAAGGGCAGGCCGCAGGTGGCTAGTGTAAGGTGTAAGTGAATGTTTGCATGCTTGCCCTTCATGGTTAAATTTAACCTTCATGGTTTCCAGTGGGGACAATGGGGATGGGCAGGCCGCAGGCAATTTACATACCTTTTCCATGTGAGTTTGTGATGTCTTACTGTAGCACCCTGCTTGTGGTTAACGCTTAG